AAAAAAAAAACAAAAACAAATTTAAGAAGAAAAGGATGAAAGAATAAAGACAAAAATAAAACTCAATGCAATAAAAGGCAGAGATTGGATTTGAAGCAGGAATGAGAAGGCCTGTAAGTAGCACGCATTCTGCCCATGAACAAGCAGGAAAAATGGCTGACCATGTGATGGTAGAAGAAATAACTCTAATAGAGAAACACATGGCTAAAGGTACTCTACTCATAGGACAGCTCTATGGTCTGGGAAACATTCTCTGAGTATTAGCTTCAAGTGATCTCATCTATGTTCGAGTCTTTGCTAGATGTAATACATAAATCTTCTGAGCAATGGTGACAAGGCTCACCGCTGAGCCAGAATACTACAGAGCAAGGGCTGGCAAACCATTGCCCATGGTCCAAATTCAGCTCTCAGCCTGCTTTTGTAAGTTTACTGGAACACAGCCATGCCTGTTCATTAATGTATTGTCTATGACTGCTTTCATGCTCCAATGGCAAAGTTTAGTTATGACAGACACTGAATGGCCTCTGAAGCCTAAAGTGCTTATTATCTGTTCCTTCACAGAAAGTTTGTCAGTACTTATTGTAGAATATAGTAGTTTGTTTTTTCTTTTATCTTATCTTTTTTTTTTTTGAGACAAGAGTTTCCTCTGTCGCCCAGGCTAGAGTGCAGTGGCATGATCTGGGCTCACTGCAACATCTGCCTCCCAGGTCCAAGAGATTCTCTTGCCTCAGCCTCCCAAGTAGCTGGGATTTCAGGTGCTTGCCACCATGCCCAGCTAATTTTTGTATTTTTAGTGGAGATGGAGTTTCTTCATGTTGGCAAGGCTGATCTCAAACTCCTGACCTTAGGTGATCCACCCACCTCGGCCTCCCAAAGTGCTGGGATTACAGGTGTGAGCCATCGCGCCCAGCCAAATATAGTAGTTTGAATAGAGCTTCTTCTACATATGCAGCAGAACAGCAATTAGGAGTGCTTTTGAAGTCACCTTGTGATATGAAATACATATATTCTGCCGGGCGCGGTGGCTCAAGCCTGTAATCCCAGCACTTTGGGAGGCCGAGGCGGGTGGATCACGAGGTCAAGAGATCGAGACCATCCTGGTCAACAT